TCTCAACTTCCCCTTTTTAAAATTTTTTTTGCTACAGCGTCCACTCCCTCCCCCCAGGAACAAACCTCTGAGTCTTTCCTGCCTCCTCGGTGCCCCTTGCGTCCTTGGCTGTCCCTCTGCACCTCAATTCCTGGTCAACATTTTGGGAACAATGACTTACGTTTGCACTTTGATTTGAGGAGCTGAGGAGGGAGTTGATACTTATTTGATGACTGGTTGTCATCCACTGCCTATGTGACCTTGGTTTGTAGTGTCCCATCTCTGAGCCTCAGCTTCTTCCTTTGCAGGCTGTTGTCATGAATCCCACTCGTCACCGTGGTTGTGGGGTCAGTGGTGCCTGGACATTGGGAGGGGCTCATTTCTGCCTGATTTCCAGACCAGGGTAAGACCTGAGGTGTTTGGGACATGAGAGGATCTTGGTGTTGGACTCCACAGTCTCTGAAGGTGATTGATGTCTCCACTTAAGATGTCACATGTGACCCTAATGGAGAAATGTACATCAGGCATTTCTGAAATACCCACAGCATCAATATCATGAGCAGAAAAAGACGTGTGGAAGCCCCGAGTGTAGAAGGATCCACAAGAAAGAACAGAGGCCAGAGGTGAGATGCCACAGGGTCCCGGGACCATCAAGGGCTCATTAGGGTGGAGGTTTCCCCACAGAGTGGAGCCGGGAGAGGAACCTCGGGATCTGTAATACAGTGAGGGACTCAGGGCTCCAGACCAAGGTGGAAGGCTGCATCTTCCAGCCACACCTGAGGCTCGAATGGACCCCAAGCAGCCCAGAGGAGTTCCATCAAAGGAGTGTACCAAACCGTCCAGTGATAGAGCTGCTGGGATTCCAAAGAAAGAAACACTAAACACCAGGGTGTTCACAGAGCATTTATTAGGGAGACTTCCAAAGAATGAGGCATCCTTGTCTCCTTGCCCAGTGTCTCCTTGTGGATCTCAAGGATGTGTTTCCACATAGCAGCATGTTCTTCAGGTGGACAAGGAGACACTGGGTGTTCTATCCAAAGCTTTAACCTAAAATAAAAATAAAAACAAAAATAAACCCCTAGAGAATACGATCTCTCAGTACAGTTGTTTCTTGGGATACACAGGCAACTCGTTTCAGTGCCCGCTACACGTAACAAAACTTCCTGGTACTCCAGCCCTGACATTGTCTCTGCTGGACCTGCATATAGGAAAAGCCCGCTGTTCATATACACAAGTCTTGCCTCTCACAAATGCAATAGTTTTGATCCCCGTTGGTTTGAAAAAAGTGTGGACATAAGAGACCCCAGGAATTCAAGGTTGCATTGCTCCAGGGTTGCCTGGATTTTGAGTGTATTTGGGAATGAGAAGCAGGGATTATAATCTGGAGTGCATGGCATGGCAAGACACAGTGTGTCCAGGGAGGGAAGTGTGATGTTGGGATATATGCTGGTTTTCACCCGCGGTTCCTGGTTCATAACTCCCATAACGCTTGTTACAGTCTTTCATTAGAATGTTGGCTGTGTTGGGCTTAGGGGAGGCCTCTGACCTCCTTCTGCCCTTCCTTCACCTGCCCAAGGCAAGACTTGAATGTTCCCTGCCTTTCTGATGGTGGCTCTTAAGACCCATCTAGAAGATGGTCTCACCCTGTTCCTTGTGGGAGGAAATGCTGACATCATGAAGCTTCCATAAAAGCCCAAGAGGACTGAGTTTCATGAGTTTCTGGTTGGCTGAGCATGTGGAAGCTCCTGAAGGGTGGCAACCAGGGAGGGCATGGAAGCCCCGCGCCGCTTCCCCCATGCCTCCTGCTATGTGTCTCTTCATCTGTGTCCTCTGCAGTGTGCTTTGTTTTCAACCACGAAATGTCAGCGTTTCTCTGAGTTCTGTGAGCTGCTACAGGAAATTAATCAAACCCAAAGAGGGGGTCATGGGATCCCCAACTTGAAGCCAGTCGATCAGAAGTTCTGGAGGTCTGCACTTGGGAAAGATGTGGGGGACAGTCTTGGGGACTTAGCCTTTAATCTGTGGGATGT